TTATCTGCCAACAAAAGACCTTCGAGTTCGATTACACTCAGCTCAAAGGCACATCATTTGTAGCATAACTTAAGTCGATAAGGGCTATATGCCAATAAAGATCTTTGAGTTCGATTACACTCAGCTCAACGACATATCATTTGTGGTATAACTCAAGGCTAGAAGGGCTATCTGCCAAAGACCTTCGGGTTCGATTACACTTAGCTTCGAGGGAACATCATTTGTAGCATAACTAAAGGCTAGAAGGGTTATCTGCCAACAAAGACCTTCGAGTTCGACTACGTTCAGCTCAAAGGCACATCATTTGCAACATAACTTAAGTTGATAAGGGCTATCTGCTAACCAAAGACGTTCGGGTTCGATTACACTTAGCTTCGAGGGCACATCATTTGTAGTATAACTCAAGACTAGAAGAGTTATCTGCTAACAAAGACCTTTGAGTTCGATTACACTCAGCTCAATGACACATCATTTGAGGTATAACTCAAGGCTAGAAGGGCTATCTGCCAAAGACCGTTGAGTTCGATTACACTCAGCTTCGAGGGCATATCATTTGCAACATAACTCAAGGCTAGAAGGGTTATCTGCCAATCAAACACCTTCAAGTTCGACTACGCTCAGCTCCAAGACACATTATTTACAGCATAGCTCAAGGCAAGAAGGGCTATCTGTCAATAAAATTGTCGAGTTTGATTCCATTCAGCTCGATGACACCTCAATCACATTATTTTCTGGCTACAATCGAGGTTTTCAAGTCGAGAAGAAGACCTGGGTTAACCGTGCCTTAGTGACAAAAAATCGATTTCCAGTAGCATAACTTAAGTCGAGAAAAGGCTATTTGCCAACAAAAGACCTTTCAAGTTCGATTTCATTCAACTCGAGGGCCTATCAACCACATGGTGGAATCAAAGAATTATTTTCCAGTTAAAATTTTAAACCAAAGTCTTTAAATCGAGAAGAAGACCGAAGGCAATGAGAAGCCACATTCCGATTCAAATTCCGAACTACGACTTCAATTCTATATCATTTCAAGATGGACTCGACTTCGCGACGGAGGATCCATCCGTAACCCAATTCGACAGAGAGTTATTCTTCAACTCCACCGAACGAAAATTTGTGTCATTTTATCTTTGTTCTATTTTTCGTTCTACGAAAAAGGAAAAAAAATGGCAGCTGTAGACACTCATTTTTGTCCATTTTTATTTTATTTTATACATATATATATATATATATATATATATATATATATATATATATAGTTTGCAAACGGTTTTTGAAAATACGTATATAATATATAGTTTTTAAAACACTTTTGAAAACCATATAATATATAGTTTTTAAAACATTTTAGAAAATATATATAATATATAGTTTTTAAAATCATTTTGAAAACTTATATAATATATAGTTTTTTGAAAACATTTTTGAAAACTTATATAATATATAGTTTTTTGAAAACATTTTTGAAAACTTATATAATATATAGTTTTTTGAAAACATTTTTAAAAGCTTATATAATATATAGTTTTTGAAAGCATTTTTGAAAATTTATATATAATATATAATTTTTAAAACATTTTTGAAAATTATATAGTTTTTAAAAACATTTTTAAAAATTATATAGTTTTTAAAAAAATATTTTTGAAAATTTATATTATATAGTTTTTAAAATACTTTTTATATTTATTATTATTATTATTATTATTATTATTATTATTATTATTATTACTTATTTTTATTTTTTTGTTTCAGGGTCCAAAGTTAGGGTCCAAATGGTCCAAGGAGGAGCCCAACCGGGTCCAATATGTCCAAAGTAGTTCGGGTCCAATGCTGAACGGGCCTGAACCACCCCAGCAAGGGACTAAGGTTTCCCAGTTCCAGTCAGCGCCGCATAAGAGATAATCAAGGGGCGCGCGTTAAGTCATGCGCCCAAACGACAAACAGTGTTACGCGAAACGGCCAGGCGATATCCCGGGACTGACCCATCCTGGGATGACCGGCCTCAACCACGAACGCTCACACGAACGAATATCTCAAAACAACCCCGTTATCATCGGAGCAGGCCCTCTGTGGGGTAGGTATAAATACCCTACCACGAAGAACCAACGGGGATATCAACAACAAACGGATATGTATCGAACAAAAGCAAACGACCGAGAGTCATCAAGAACCAAAAACACAGTAAACAGAGAAACCAAAGATCCATCGGCCAACAAAACCGAAAACCATCACAAACGCAAAGCCAACAGTAACCAAGCATAACAACCAAAATCAAAGAAACCGAAACGTAGCCACAAAATATCTCAAAACAGTTGAGCAAAATAAAAACACAAAAGACCAAAGGCAACGCACGAAGCCATAAGCCTCGCAACGTGAAAGCTTACCGGGAACTGAAGAACCGTCGGGAAAAGGTGAGGAAGCCGAAGAGCTCGACTTAGATATACGTTAATTGGATTATTTTTAGGGGAAACGGGCTTCGAATATGTGTTTGGGGGTAGAGGAGAGCGTTTTGTGAGAGTTTAGATTTTTCGGTGGCCGAAGCGACGGCGAGCGGCAGAGCGATCAGTTGGTTTTTGGGTTTGGGGTTGTTGTGTTCTTCATGATAAAGAACACAGTTGAAGCTTTCAGAGAAAATCAGGGGTTGCTTTTGATCTTGTGAGGAAGGGGGAAAATTATTAGAGGTGTTTGGGCGAAAATGAGCTTTTATGTCGACCCGACCCGGAGAGGTGGGATCCGCGTGTTTTCTAATGGTAAAGGGGGAATTCGTTTTTTAATCCCCTTTCTTTGTAAGAATTTATCTTGCCCTTTTTAATGCGAATTTAATCGTGATTTCTCTTTTAATTTTATCCGCCAATTCCACTTTCTTTCAAATTGGCCCTTTTCATTTATTTATTTATTTTTTACGTTCTTATTTATTTTTTATTTCTAATTTTGTATATTCGTTTTTATCATTTTATATTTATTTATTTATTATTATTATTACTTACTCTTATAATTTTTTCTTCTTTTTTGGTTTATCTAATATTTTTATTTTATTTGTATTTGTATTTTTTTCCCTTTGATTTGTTTTATTTGTTTATTTATTTTTATTTTTATTTTTCCCTTTTTTTATTCTTTTTATTCTTCCTTTCTTTTGATTTATTTAGTATTTATGTATTTATTTATTTATTTATTTTCTCTAACATTTTTAATTTTGTAGATAAATACCAACTGATCAAATGTAAGTAATTTGAATCGGTTGTTTTAAATTTCAATTTAAATTTTAATTTTCACAATTAAAGACAACCGATAAATTAATTGGTACCGAAAGGGCGGTTCAAGTGTACTAATCATTCCTTGACCGTAACTGACTCTCGAACCCGACACATTTCTGGTAAAATACAGATCAGGTAAGATGGTGTCCGATATACTTAAATATCATTTTAAAGTGATCGGTGGCTACTCTAACCCAATTCATTCACGTCGAAGCCCAATTTCGAGCCCGACTGAAAGGCGATTTCGACAGATATATTTAAATTATAAGAAATAACATAATGTATAAATATATGAAGTATTGAATATAATAATGTTTAAACTTTCAATGCACCTATTGTATAATTGAAATTCATCATAAATAGGTCAACATGATCAGGCTAATGCTTTTCACATTGCATGAACAGTACCAAGAAAATACATTTTAGCGGAAAAAATGTCATATTTACTTTTAGTTAGGTACAATAGTAAGAATTTCGAGAGTAAACATATTTTGTCGATTTAATATTATTCTAGGTCATGAATTCGCTTGGAATATTTTCGTTCTTTCCGAGTCCTCATTCCTTTTTCCTTTAAATAAGATCAAAATTATATTTAAAATTTATAAAAATAAAATAGAATTTCTATGTTTTAAAATAAAATTTGAATATTTGAAATGATAAAATCATTAATAGTGGGTTTTTTTATATTTTATTTAATAATATAACTAAACTCAATTTTAAATATAATTAGATTTAAGTAATTACGGACCTTAAAAAATTTAAATTACAAGAAATATTTTTGGTATGTTGTAGTGTCAATACGACATAGTTTGAATGGAAGTTCTACGGTATGACACCTTTAATATAAGGTTAATAAAAAATGCTACTGATTTTGTTATTATTTAAATAATAAAATCGGTAAAAAAATTATCTAAAACATTATTATTTCTACCTAAAACATCAATATTTTTTTAACATTTCCTATAAAATGCCCAATAATAACAAAATCAGTAATGCTTAATCGATTTTATTAACAAAACCGATAAAACGCTAAATAATAACAATACCAATAAAAATAATAATATTTATAATAAATTTTTACTTATTTTATTATTTAAATAATAATAAAACCAATAATTTTTTTTAATTATACATTAAAACTGTTGCACGTGATCATTTCCTTAACTTGAACGACACCAATAAATACGCTAAAAGACCCTAACGACTAACCATCACATGGCCCTCTGAACTCTGAAGTAAAAGAAACCCTCACACATAACGACAACAATATTAACGGTCAAATGCCCAAATGACCAAAAAGTCCACCCGCGGCTCCCTCCGGGTTCGATCACGCGGAATTAACGCCTTAGCCACCGGTCGACCCGATCAGCTACAGTGTCACCAACGTAAATAAATCCAAACCTAGTGGATCCCTTTGTCACACAAAGTATAGAAAATATCAGGACAAGTTATATTAGAAATTATTTAATTATGAATTCATTTAAAAGTTATCAACCAAAAGAAATTGTTATTTTCTTTAAAGTTATCAGGTTCGAGTAATTATATATGTAAGGTGTGTGTTATCAATGATTAAAAAATAAATTAATGAATTATGTTCGATAAAAAATTATGATCATTTTGTAATAATTCAATAAATGTAATGATTATTTTGTAAATTTTAAAAGTTAAGTGATTAAGACGATTATTTAAAAATAGATTAATGACTTTTGATGTACTTTAATCAAATATTAGAACTCTAAACTTTTGCTCTACTTCATATATGAAGCTCCCCAACACTGTCTTCAAGACACTCAAAGATTCAATTCTAGCACATACTGTTGGCAGAAACTAGCTTCCACTATTGCCCTGCGTTTTTTCCCACCCACTTTTTTCCCTTTCACTTTACTTTTTTCCACCAAGGCTGCACAAGTGGTGGCGCCGCCTGTTCACACAATGCAGCGCCGCGCTGGGTGGGTTGTCACATTATGCTGTTTAGCGTTATTGCAGTGTTCTATGGTGTCTGGACAGGTCCTGGCGCCGCAAAAAATGGACCAACATTGGCAACCTGCCACCGCCACTTGGTATGGCAGTCCTGACGGCGATGGCAGCGACGGTAGGTGTCCACCATTGACTATTTTAGATCTGTAACTGGGTTTTCTTTATTTAGTTGACTGCTAGACTTCCAAAAAAACTTGAAATTTTGGTTAGTTTTACTTTTTGGAAAGTAATAAAGGCTGTTTATGGGAAATTATTGTGTAGGGGGAGCATGCGGGTATGGGTCATTAGTTGATGTGAAGCCGCTGAGGGCCAGAGTGGGAGCGGTGAGCCCGGTGCTGTTTAAGAACGGGGAAGGGTGTGGAGCGTGCTTCAAAGTGAAGTGCCTAGACAAGAGCATATGCTCGAGGAGAGCCGTCACCATCATTGTAACGGACGAGTGTCCCGGCGGGTACTGCGCCAATGGCCGCACACACTTCGACTTAAGTGGTGCAGCCTTTGGCCGTATGGCCGTAACCGGTGAGAGTTCGCAGCTCAGGAACCGAGGCGAACTACCAGTTGTTTATAGAAGGTATGTTTCCTTTTCACTGTCGCTTCTATTTTAGCAATTTTTTCTTGTTTATATTGATTTACTAAAATTAATACAGAAGGTTTTTTTTTTGGTTTAAAATTACAGGACCCCATGTAAATACCCTGGGAAGAACATTGCCTTCCATGTCAATGAAGGCTCCACTGATTATTGGCTATCTCTTCTGGTAGAGTTTGAGGATGGTGATGGAGATGTTGGGTCAATGCATATAAGAGAAGTAATCCCCCTTCGCTTTTCCCATAAATTTTACTGTTTTTATTCACCATTTAACACTGTATTTAAACTCATTGAGTGACCTTAATCATAAAAGATAGCATTGTTCTTCTTAGAGGATCAAACAGATACTGAATTTAAGAAAAAGGCTGCACCTTAAAAGCACAAAGCACTTTCATATTTACATAAAAAAGCTGTTCAAAATATAAGCATGAATGTGGTGTCCATACCTTCAAAAAGGTAATGGCAGAATGTTTTGAAAATCCTACCATTATTATATATTATTAACCCCATGTTTAAAGGTAGGCTTGCTCCTAATATATTGGATTTGTCTGCTTAAATAGGTTCCATTAGTCCAACATATATGCCACTTTTATTAAGAAAACATTGACCCCTTGCTTTCTGTAAATGGCTCCAATGTGCAAAATGCTCAAAACCCCACTTTTTTCTTCAATCAATTACTCAAGTATTTTTTGAATCTTGACTCCCCCTGCATGTGATTGATTATAGGGACCCCCAGTCCATACTCAAAGCTTACATTCTTCAGTCTTTTCTTGGGAGGATAATGAAAATGTTTAGTTCCAACTTTTTAAGCCTACATTAGTCCATGAAATTTTTAATATAACTTAAGTTTACGCCCTTAATATAAAATTATGTGTCCGTGTCTAACAACATACATATACATGGTAATTTCATGAAAGATATATGCAAGATTTTTCAAGAAAAATGGATACTGAAATATGGATGTTGTTGTCAATGGCAGGCAAACTCCAATGAGTGGTTAGAGATGAGCCATGTATGGGGAGCAAATTGGTGCATCATCAGGGGACCCTTGAAAGGACCCTTCTCGGTGAAACTAACAACATTATCAACAGGAAGAACTCTCTCGGCAAGGGATGTGATTCCCAGAAACTGGTCGCCAAAAGCAACTTACACCTCTCGCCTTAACTTCAAACTCTGATAAAACAAAAAGCAGCAGCAATTGGTCCATGACACAGAGACAGAAGGCTCTCCTTATAGTCTCCATGACAGAAAAAAGTAATCTTTGTCTATGTTTCTTTAAAGAGAAGGTAATAGCTCGTTGGACAGCATAATAGCATCCAAAGGCTCTTTATTTTCTTTATTTACTTTATTTACTTTTGCAATAGTTTTGTTATAGTTACTATTTGCAGTGTGCACGTGTGATTATAGATCAATGTAGCCCTCTCCAAAGGAGAGAGTGCTTTTAGCATTGTTGTTGTTTGAATGTAGTTTGTGGTGTGCTTTGGATTTTAGTCATATTTGTAGCATTCAATGTAAAATATATATTGTGTGTTTTGTTTCCAATTTATTGAAATGTAAAATTATAACAAAATTCAAAAGATAATTTTATGAATATTCGGTCGTACTTGACACAAAACGAATCATACCGACTCTATTTTGTCAAAATGTACACAATTTAAAAGAAAAAAAAATTTTGAACTAAAAATGATTTGAAATTGTAATACAAAGGTTAATATTACATTAGCTTTATTTTTTATATATATATCTAAAAGGTGTAACATAACGTTAGGCGACGATGTAACCTCAACGCCTTGCGGCCATGTTTACTATTATAGTTGCATTGTTAAATGGTTCGAGAGAAATTATTTGTGTCCGTTATGTCAATATCAGATGACAATCGATTGAATTCTATTGTATTTTTTTAACGTATTGTTAATGATCAATGAATTTGACAAAGAAAATATAAAAGTTGATTAAGATTCCTTGTAATCAGGGGCGGATGTATATGGCTACATATGGGTTGAGATTCATTATTCTAGATTAGATATTCAATATAGTTTAATATATTAAAAAAGAATAAAAAAATAAGAAATTTTGCATATCCATTATATTGAAAAGACGAGTATTAAATTTTTTGAACCATTATTTTTAAAATTTTGGATCGTCACCGCTTGTAATCCGTTTTAGTTTCGTTTTTTTGGCTTCATATTAGAAGTTTAACTTGTGTTTTATCTTCATTGATCTCTCCATTAGACATTCCTGCTGCCTCTCATCCACCTCTTTCTCGTTTCCGATGGCAAAATTCTTGGATTTATAAAAATCTTAAGAAAGGAGTTAAGAGAGCTTCTATCAATATAGTTGGTGTGGTGATATCTTTGTTGGATTATATGACAAGATATATATAATTGTTAATGCACTCGTACACTTGTCCATCCTTTTCATAAACCTCACCCAACCCCTAAAAAACAACCAATTTTACTCTTTTAATGTGATCTCCCAACTTACTGGAGTGTAATATTGATAGGAGGACAACTTTCACAGAAAATGCATTCATTCAAGGGGTCACCGGTTAAATTCAAAGTTGCATTTGTATTTTTTTTTTTGAAAATCGAGACAACGCATGATTCTTTTTAGAGAAAATAACCTCAGTGACAAAAAATGTCTTATAATATACGATTTTAACCAACTTTTTTGGATTTGCTAAAATGACCAACTAAATCGCAATATGATCGATAATTCGCAACGCGACCTCCGGTATCGCAAATCAGTTTTCAGATTCGCAACGCGATTCTGACTATCGCATTGCGATTTTCCAAATTCGCATTGCGATTTTCCAAATTCGCGTTGCGATTTTCCTAATTCGCAATGTGAATACGTAAATCGCAATGCGAATACGTAAATCGCAATGCGAATATATAAATCGCAACGCGAATCTGACTATCGCAATGCGAATATATAAATCGCAACGCGAATCTGACTATCGCAATGCGATTTATATAGCGCCATTCGTATCCAACGCGTATTTTTTTTTTCAAATTCCAAACACGAATATATTAATATATCGGAACACTGAACCGTCCACAGTATATCCCGTAATCACAACTCATAACCTAAAACCCTAAATCACAACTCTATCTCATCTCTATCTCTCACTCTCTAAGGCGACATCCGTCCCCATCTCCGACGAAATCAGTCCCCATCTCCGACGATATCAGTCTCCATCTCCGACGAAATCATTCACGGTCAGAAATGGAAAATCAACCAAATCAACCACCGAGGGTTAGTTTTTTTAATTATTTTTATTTTGAAATTTTTGCATTATTATTAGGTTTTTCATATTGAAATTGATGATAAGTTTACTGGTGTTTTCAATAATAGATTAACCATTTCACTTAGATTGCTTATTATATTCATTCGATTGCTGCCAATACTGCTAAACTGTTTAGTCTTTAACCCTGTGAAGTTAATATTTGTCTTTGTTTTGTCTTTTGGTTGAAGTAATGCAATCCATTCAAGTTTCTTTCAATTTTAGTATTTGAAACCGAGAATGACTATCGCAATGCGATTCTGTCGTTGCGATTTTCATTTCGCGTTGCGATTCTTGCGTTGCGATAGTCAAATTCGCGTTGCGATAGTCATTTTCGTGTTGTGCTTTTCATTTTCGTGTTGCGATTTAAAGTTTCAGAAACTATTCTTCTTCTGCAAATTGAAACTTGAATGAATTGCATTACTTCAACCAAAAAACAAAGACAAATACTAAATTCACAGTGTTGCAAATTTAAGTTTGAAGAATAAACTACTACTCTTTATGTTTATTGTTCTTTTTATATCTTCACAGTGTAGTTTTTGGTATATCTAAATTGGTATGTTTATTGTTTTTGTAGAACTTTTATTCGGCTCAATTGACCTTAAGAAATAAAGTAAGCCTGGCCAAAACAATTGCGTCGAAGCTTTCACCTGCACAAAGAAAAATATTTGAGGATACTTGCTTCGGGCCATGGCTGAAAGTACAACATCCGGGTGGAGATGCTATGTTGACCTATCTGTTTCTTCAAACCATGACTAGCGATCTACCAGAGACTATACAACGTCGTGATGAAGAGATATGATTTGATTTTCCACTGGCGTATACGTGTTTTGGGCGGGAGGAGTTTTGCTTAATCACCGGTCTACGCTTCGGACACGATGATGTAGATCGGTACACTAGACATATTACCCGCCTATCATGGTTTTCCCGGGTTTTTCCTGAGCTATCAACGGAGAAGTCGAATTTACACGTGGAAGACTTGACGAGATTATTGAATAAGAAAGATGGTTTTACTCGGATGGATGACGTCGATGTTATCCGAGTATGCCTTCTAATACTTTTGCAAGCCGACTTTTTAGACAGAGAGGCCCGACAACC